TTGGACCTTGAGACATACTGCATAAAACAGCATCTCACACCCTATTTTCATGGGAAAAGGAAAGGCTCGGGGCCTTGACTTGACAATACACGAAAGTTTGAAATTCGATTCAGAAAACATTTTGTAAGGAACCAAAGGGCAAATGTGTTCTGTAAAGCCTTGGTTACCTGCGGGACATCGTCAAAAAGATGTCGATTTAGGATTGGCATTGATGTTTTTCTGGTGTGTCATTTGAACTTTCAGGAGTGTCTCATAAGCACCCCATAAAATCATCGAATCTATAGAATCTCATGATGCCCTGGATGGACCACCACGACCCTGGATGATGGGACCTTCTGGATGGCATTCTGACGTGCCATGTCTCCATTTGAGGCCAACTATTGGATCGGTAAGGCCGGGCCCCTAGGTCCATGGGATTCTGTAGAAATGGCCTGACGTAAAAACGGCCTCGTTGGAGCTGAAAACATTTGAAAGTCACATGATTCATGTCATGAAGATGGTCTGCATTCATATGGAAGTTTCCTAAAATGGAGGTAGCCCAATAAAAATGGATGGTTGAAAACGCGAAATCTGATTGAAATGATTTGAAATGGATGATTTGGGCGTACCCACATAACTTACCAGTAGAAAACCTCCATTTTGGTCGCTGATCTGATGAGTTTGTCGACTTGGCATCTGAACTTCTGGGATTGACCACAGTCAATCCATTCCCTCTGACATATCACCATTTTTGGATATTTTTGGAATGAGACCCCAACATGAATAGATCAGAAATGATCAGAATAGATCCAATACTAAGGGTCCAAGGGAATATCAGGATGGAATTATTGTATTATTGTACGCATTCCAACATAATTATCATTACAATGGATAATATATAGAATTAGTGTAATATTAAAGTACTGGAGTGGAATTATGAAAATATTATTTTCTCTCCAGTCCAATGTGTTTTGTGATTGCACTATCCAGCATCAAAAAGCGATAGAAGTTCGCTTTCGCAGGCCTTGAGTACGCCCCATTTTTCTGCGACGGATGGTGGTTTGGAACAAGGGCCTCTTGATGGAATGCTGGAAATGTGTCTGCGGGATGCTGATAGATGGTGGTTGCAGCTTCTCAAAAAACCTGGATAGCGTGAGGACATACCCGGCCTGGTTATGACTAACATAGCTATTGACAATGGCCATTAATAGTGGATTTTCCCATTAAAAATGGTGATTTTCTATAGTTGTGTTAGTTTACCAGAGGGTAATGCTGTAGCCATAACTGAGCCCATGCAAAGAAGCCAATGCTGCACGTTTCCTTGTTCTTTCAAGCTACAAAAGGCGAGTCGAGAAGCTTCATACAGACGTCATCATCATGCTTACAGGCAGTGAATAGAGCCATTCAAACTCATTCAAGTACGTTTTATGTATATGTATATGTACACAATAGAATTCATTCAAATGTGATTTGATGCACATGTTCGTAAATGCTGTGATTAAGCAACTGGATTTGGATTGTACTCAAACTGGTTGCTGTACCAAGTGCATAGGCTCATTGAGTCCTGAATTTTCAGCCGTGTTTCATGGTTTTGGATGGTATGGGTCACCATATGTCACCATTATAATTTCCTTTATTCATATTATATTCATACTATATTCATATTCATTCCCCCAGTTTATGGATTGTTTTAAATCCATTCATTCCGAAAAAAACTGATCCTTCAGTCTGACTGACACGACCGATTCTTCACTCAGTTCAGGTTCGAGGCCTGGAAATCTCTCACCTTAGCGAGGGCTGCCATCTTCCCTGGCCGCACGTGCGGAAACCGAGCGGAGGGGGCGACATGCGAAAATCGATTTTGACATCGTAGATTCACTGGTTTAGTAGATGTCAAAGTAAAGGATTTCAATAAACATACCTACAAACTGACATTTACTTTACTGACATGTAAGTAGATGTTTAGTAGTGAATAAAAGAGTATAGATTGTTCAAAGACTGGTGTAAGATGTTCAAATATTGTGGCTGCGTTTGTCAGATTTCAGATTGGCCACAAGCACGCGCTACTTCTAGGATTGCTGCTCTATTGCGCAAATGCATGTAAAAATCCCTCGTATTCTCCATGGCAGTACGATGTACTCTGTTGAATTGGAGTTTTCGCACGACCTCTTGCGGCCGTCGGTATTTGCAAGAGGATCTAGCACAACTAGATTCGCCCACTTAGCTTCTTGCTGAGCATGACAGATTTTGCCACGTTGCCACATGTGGTGAAACATGTTGTGTACAAAATCCATGGCAGTGATGAAATCAGGAATCGCTACACCATCTTGCAGCATCATCAACCAGAAGACTTAGAGGCACGAGTCGTTGTTCCACGGCGATTGGTGATGGAATTGGGGATGGCATTGATTTGGAATGGCCGGCCGTTTGCAGTTTCCTGCCTGTGTGTTGCTTGCATAAAAGATCATAGAAGCTTCAAACGGATCAAATCAATATCCTACAGTAATGTAGAGTATGTGCTGTATATATCTGTATATGTGATAAGACTGAAGGGCCTGTCTTGTAGTGTCTTTTGCAACGAGAAGCTAATCATGATTTGAAAGGTATCAGCAGAATCGGGCGACTGCGAAAGCAGCAGTCTCTATACAAGTCCAACAAGTTTGATGGATGCTAGTTTTTGCTCTATTTCATGTTCTATGTTCATTCATACGTTCATTCATACGTTCATTCTACTTCCCTGCAAAGTCAACAAATCTGCCCGCATTTCCAGCTTTTTTTTCCGGGTGTCGACACCAAAAAAACCCACCCCTGCGGCAGGCTGCCTGGGGACGATTGAGGCAGAAACATATCGATGTGTCTCAGCTGCACTGCTCATGTTTTCAAGCTCAGTTGAGCAGTGTTCAACTATTGGATTCCCCTATTGAACTATATTGGGTATAATATGGTATAATCCCCTACAATCACCAACTATTGGATTATCATAATATATTATATATAGTATATTATAATCCCCAATATATGAAGGGGTAGTATAATCCTCCATCATCACCAACCGTTACAGGGGTTTTGAATAGTCATGTAGGTAATTACCCAATAGTTGGATGGTGTATGTCATGGAAAATCCTACTCTATAAATGGATGATAACTGTTGGGGTACCCCCATGAATTGGAAACCTCCATATGTCAATTTATATCACGTTTTTTGTTTTCCTTCTATGATTGTTTCTGTTCATTTCAATCGGGTTATGGTTTTATATACTCATGTCAATTCATGATATAATTCATATATTCATATATGTAATGTCAATTCATATTCTTTTATATACTCATGCTAATTCATATTTCATGGTTTCTAGTCGTGTTTTGTTGACACATTGCAGGATGCCGTTTTTCCACGTTTCCACGCCATCTGACTGATTTGAAGATCTCAGGTTTGGAGAGCTGCTGGACGTTGTCCCACGGAAGTCGGTTCAGCTCAGTTGCCCCAGCTGATTCCAATGGTGAAATGGTGATATGGATTGCTAAAAAAGGGGCAAAACATACAGAAAAACACCATCGTTTTACCCTCAATTGAACAGCTTGCGAGCTGGAAAATCCACCAAAAAATGGCTAAATCAACGAACTAAATGACCATTTTCCATAGCTATGTTAAATTACCAGAGAGTATATTAAATATACAGGTTTTTACTCCCAAAAATAAGGGGTTCCTGTAGGTCCATCACTGGCTTATGTGCAGAAAAGAATTTGCCATGCTCACTGTTTGGTTGAACAAAGGCACACTGCTGGTGTTTTTTTCACAGGAGATCCTTGGGATAATGATTGCGGAATCCGAATGCTTCGAAGAACTCGTTTTTTTCTGCAGTGGTCAACTGATGCAATGAAAACGTCCATGCAATTCAGAACAGTTAGTTCATCTATTTTTGCATCTACTGAGTTACTGCAGGCATCCATCCGTCCCTTCCTCCCTCCGTCCATTATCTTTCCATCCATTACTTTGCCGTATATACCTTAGGGACCCACGCTTTGATCATCTCTTGCTGTTTGGTTTTGGAAGATTACGAACTGAGCTTATGTCATAAGTGCAATCAAGATTAGATATGATCGATTATATAAATTAGAACTGCACTTGTGTCATCCGTAGTTTATGCATTTTAGGAGCTGAGATTAAAATAGATCAATGTGGGTGAAATAACGATAAACCACCTTTAGGAATAGTTTCTCCCACCTATTTATTGTGATTTGGGGGATCGTTTATGATTGTTTTACCCACATTACCCCAAATTCATGGCTATCAATATCTATCAAATTCTATCAATATCTATTAAATGGTCATGATTTGGTCATGATTTGGATGATTTGGGGTACCGCTATTTTCATATTTTCGCAGACTCTATGGCTTCAAAAAGTTGCGCCTTCCAAGGCAGCAGCTCGCTTGGCCGCTCTGGAGGTGAGACCCGGCAGAACGGCAGCCCAACGAAGTCAACATATGGTGCTCCATGGATCCCATCAATATACCCCAGTCATGTTAGCATTAATATACCAGCACCATGGGTCCTATGGGTATGGGTTTACAATGTGTATAATTTATGTATATATATATTATGATATATGTACATATATGCTACTAGTTGGAAGCCTATTTGCTGGAAATAAGCCAGTGCAAAATCAGTGGGAAGTGATCATATCATTTCTTTGTGAAAGGGGACTCATATTCAAAAGTAAAAGCAATAAGAGGCCCGAAGGCATTGACTCGCACTCGATGCAAGATGTGAAAGAGTTGAGGCGATGTATCCAGTCAAGGAATTGAAGATTCAACACATTTCAAAACATATTTTGACCGCAGTGCCATTCGGACATTGACGCATATTGACGCTATATAGAGCCACCTCGCTGGCGTCCGAGAGGAATGCTCTTCAGCTGTTCACCCAAGCCTGAAGACATTTGAGGAGGATGCAGATGATTCAAGTGACGGTGAGATCTCTTGGTACATTTGGTACCGTCTGCCCTGCCAATACGTGGTGATGGCACTTCTCCAGATTGGCAGAGTGGGTGGGTCTGACTATCTCGTGCCTCCGTGGATGTTGCAGACTGTAGCACCCTCTGAGGTGGGTCTGCATTGATGATTCAAGTGGTAAACCCAATGCCATAAACCATCGGACAACCATTTGGGGGTCGTTTCATATTAACCCGAAGAAGGCTATACCCAATAATCAGATAATAAGCATCTATTTGGTCTTATAGTGACCTCACGTGGTGACCACGACTCCACGAATCATGATTAGGATTCATGTTTTCGGGGAATCATCCCCAATTGACCTCATTTTATCCTTAAAAATCAGGTTAGTGAAATACTATAACTGGTTGGTGGTTTCAAACATGGCTTTTATTTTCCATTTCATATATGGGATTCCTTCCCATTGACGAACTCCATCACTTTCAAAGATGGTTATTGCACCACCAACCCAACCAGATAATTTACCACTAAATTGGACATAATTATAATAATTGCTAAATAAACATCCAATGATTTCAGAAATACCAATGATAATTTACCAGGTGAGTGAAATAAACATCCAATTATTTCATCCAGATCTTTTTTCGGCTTTCTCATCCTTTCTCCATTTATACGATGCCAGGCGAAGCATCATCCTTATCATGAGCGGATGCAAAGGCGGCCGCTGTTCTGCAATGCCAAAAACGCACCATGGTGCCTTCACCATCTTTAAGCAATGTATGGACATTATTATATGTACATTATATATATATATATATATTATATCTTCCCCAAACAGTGTGGCCACACTTGGGGTTCTTACGGTAGAGGTGAATGAAAGGCCTACTGTTCATTCGAGGTGTTCTCATCCGTGTCGTTTTACCAACGCGCGCCGCGCTCGGTTTTTGAGCTGTGTCCATTTCGTGTGGCAGGCGTGGCACTTTTTGCATGTTGCTAAAACATACTAAAACGTTGGCAGGCGGTGGTCAAAATGAGTCAGTGGTTTCGGAGGTCGTTTTTGATTTTTTTGTGTGGCAGGCACAGCAAATTATATACTATTTGGTGCACTTGGACGACGTTTTGGAAGGATCGAACATCTCGTTTTCTGAACCAGCCGTCATTTTTGATATCGGGCATGAGGATTCTGCGTGGCAGGTGCAGCACTTTGGATGCCTCGGATGGCAATGTTTTGTGAAAATCTACCATGTGCTGGCGCAAGCCTCGCGTCACTTTGGGCGTGTCGGATCGCTCTCGTTGTGGCACCGTGCTCAATGGTGCTCATTTCGATAGTCAAGGAGATCTTGTGCAGAGATCTTGTCAAGGAGGTCTTTTGTAAAGAGCTTGCGCAGAAATCTTGCAACGGAGACCTCTTATAATAGACATCTAGCACAGAGAGCTCTTACAGAGATCTTGTACAGAGGTCTTGCCAAGAGGTCTCCCACAGAGATCTTGCCAAGAGAGCCCTTAAAGAGAGAGCGTGTAAGGAGATCTCATAAAGACATTTTGCCAAGAGACCTCTTGTAGAGATCTTGTAGAGAGATCTTACTGCGAGATCTCCTACAGATATCTTCTGTGGAGATCTCTTATAGACATCTTGTACAGGTAGCTTTACCAAGGAACCTTGCACTTGCACCTTGCACAGCAGTTTCTACAGAGAACCTGTCAATGTGTCTTGCCGGGATAATATATAATATATATATATATATTCATATATGTCTACAAATATAAGGTATTTGTTCATACATATAAATATAAATTACATATATACATAGTATTATGTGTAGCCATTTTCATTGTCTAGTTAGTCTTTTTTTTGCAACAGCAATAAACCGGGTATATTTCAAAAACTGATTATTTTGCCATGTCAATGGGGACAGTCTGACAGTCTGCCAGTCTGTCAAGATGATTTTCAGATTTAGGCCGACCAGATTTCCAGAGAAATTTCCTGTTTTTTTTGCCTCGTTTTTGGCGATGACTCAACCCAAATAGATTACCATTACTGTTTTATTGCACGGTTTCTCCGAGTACCAAGGCTGCTCCACATGAAAAGAGTGAAAGTGAAGTTTCTTACAAAAGATCTGTTTTTTCAAGTGGATTGAAGTGGTTTTCTTTAGATTGGTTGTTTCAAGTGGGTTGAAATGGCAACTATCGAAAAGGATAAGATTGAACTACCCTCTGGTAAACTAACATAGCTATTGAAAATTGCCATTTATAGTGGATTTACCCATTAAAAATGGTGATTTTCCATAGTTTTTTGTACGTTTACCAGAGGGTATCATGCTTTCAAGACAGCCATGTTGGAGGCGTTGGATGACGGCGGCCTCCAGGTGCGGCTTTCAAGACTTGTACGGAGTCACATTGGAATTCTCGTCACATCTAGTAGTCGTGGTTTGGTATAAATAGTTAATGCATAGTACACGAATAAGTAGTTGTTGTAGTATATTATATATATGCATAGTACATTCAATGATCAAGGAATTTTGCATAGTAGATTTATGGTATATATGAAGTATAGTATAGATGTAGTATACATGATATAATGTGATTTTACACAAAGTATTTACTGTACCGGCTATGTTAAAGCTACATGTATAGTACTGACATGACCATTCATTCGTCCATAGGTATCAATAGATAGATGTGCAATGATGTGTATGTGTGCAGGAGTCAGCGATGTGATTCGGATAAAGTATTTACGTGTTTGCATGGGTTTACATTACATCCAAAAGGATCCTTGCCGCGAATGAATAACCCACTAGTGTAACTTCCTTTTAAAGGGTCAGGGGATGAATTTTATAAAATATCAATATTCCTGAATGTCGACAGGATGATTCCAGACTTCAATGCAATATTTGTGGTGGGACTTCTGTTGTGTATCAGTTGTGTATGGTACACTCGGGGTTGAGGTATGATGGCACCATATTAAAGCACTGTTTGCAGGTCCAACCACCGAAAGTCTTCGCTGTGGCATATTTCAAACATCTCACAGTTATACTTAGATTTGTGTAGGTCTATTACCAAACGCGTGCAGGGAGATGTGTTTTTCGTTTGTTGTTGATCTATGTATATATATATTATATATAATAATATGTAATTATTCAAATACTGAGTTACTTACATTCCGTTGGCAAGTCCAAATACATCAACCATATATTAACACCGATGCAGCCGTTGGCAGGAACAGTGGCATTACTGATGACGCAGGTGTCCCTCCGATACTCAAACAGCCATGGCTAGCTGGACAATCCCCCATGTGTCGCAGTGGATTTTCACATCAACACTTTATCTGGTTGGTGGTTTGGAATTGGGGAATCCACTATTAGATAATAACATTATAATCCACTATTTGGGAATTGGGGAATCCCTAACATTATATATATATATATAATTAGGGAAGAATCATCCCAACTGTTAACTCACTCCATCATTTTTCAGAGGGGTAGGTTGAAACCACCAACCAGTTATACTGTAAAGGGGATTTCCAATTGGTATGTTCGATCGCTGGATGGTACTCTTGATGTCAAAATCCCTTGACCCAGTGGTCTAGTTGTCAACCAGCAGATCCAAGTGGGGCAGCTCTGGACAGGTTTCTTCTTTCCACATAGGATACATAGGGAGCTCTGGACCTGTGATACGGAGCGGTTGTTGTAACCTGGTTGAAGTAAAGGGAATAAAGGGAATACTTCGACCAACAGCCTGGGACAGCCATCCAGGATCAGCAAGGATCTGATGTTTTGGTACACTTCGTTTTGGCACAAAGTGTATGGCTTAAAAAAAACAAGATGGAAATAGGACGAAAGAAGTAAAGTCCTTCCAAACTGGTGTCCAGTTACTTGTCTACCTTTGACAGGCTTACTACAGAATGTATATTTATATACATATATACATAATATATATATATATATTACATTTATACATGATATACATATATCCAGCTGGATTTTCTCGTGACTCTCCCCATTCTGAGATTTCTTGTTTTGATCTCTTGGATTCACATGCCATTCACACGGCAATCGGCAGGCACACAGCAAGCCATCGAGAGCATTTTGGCAGGTGCGAAAACACCGAGCACTTCACGGTTGAAAGGATTCAGTCACTCCTCATTGCCTTCCATAAGCAAGCAACGGAAGTACTATAAGATGAAATTGGAGGAAGCAGGTGACGCTATACAGTATTTATGTGCTCTTGTGTGAATATCCTAGATTAGATCAATCTTAAGACGCCTGCACGTAATTCATGGCTTGAACACTGGGTTTCAAGGGTTCGGTCTGGGCTCTCAAACTCAGGTTGGGTAGCTAACACGAGGGTTGGAGCAGTCATGAGGGGGATCTTGATATGTTCCACCATTTGGGAAATCGCTAAAATCCACCATTTGGGTGCCGTGTTCCGCTCCAAAAAGAGACGGTTGCTGAGGCTGGTCACCAAGCCCAGCGACTGCCGCAGTCCCAAAGCACAGCGACTGCCCGAAACCCGACGCGTTTGAGTAACGCTAGAGGCTCACAGTTCTCTGATTTAGCCCCAGCAGCTGTGCTTTGGATTAAAAAAAACATAGCCATAGAAGATTTCGATGCATTGACAGATCAATGCATCTGTAGCACAGCGTCCAAGGATGTCCAAAGTTTGCGTCGTGGGACCAAAGAACCCCACTTTAGCCTTGGCTTTGGACAGATGCTCTAGCTGTGAAAACGTGGATTTGTCAGAAAATAAAGCACTGGGGTTTATAAAACCAGGTGTATCATCATGTTCACCACTAGTTATACAATATCCGTCATTCCGGATGTTGTAGAGAGATTCTGATACTTCCCAAATGTTCCCAACTGTGCCTTGGGACAGCCATCTCTGCAGATTGGGAACTAGATATGCAGTGTTTTTTTTTCAACCAAGCTTCATGAGCTCTTGACCCATGCTTCCAGGCATGGTCAGAAGATATCACATGTTTTTTGAGTGGAATAATTTCTGTTTCAACAGGTTTTGACAGTCCTAACTTAAGTTGGGAGAGACCTGTCAGTGGATCTACCACAGTCATTATCCTAAATGATGGGTCAATCGTAAAAGACTAGTGCGACGAGATGCAATGTGAACAAAATGCATGTGGCACAGATGATTTTTCATGATCAAGGCCTACACTGGGCCTACACATTCACATTTCAAGACCTAGGCATTCATGTCGTTCACCACAAATAAAGGTCAAATATGAAGATTCATCGAAATCGACACTGCCCTTTGATGGTTTTTCCGTATGTGTACAATACAACTGGGTTGATTCATAGCAGTTTTACAATTGTCCAGGGCTTCTTATGACTTGTTTTTCCAAAACCAGTGAGCCTGGGGCCTTTAAAGAGTATGTGACTAATTATATGCAAATAAATGGACCTAGTCATTCAAATTCATAGCCAGGAACAGTTCCTCTCTTCTTTATAAGCCAGCCGGTCTTAAGTAGCCCAGATCTACTCTGAGCAGGCTAACGGCAGTACTATCCTGCCCCGACTCAGCTTCCGTTTCCTCGGGTTTGTGGAGTTTTACCACCAAGCCATGTGTTGGCTTTCCCGAGGCAATACACGGTCTGCAAAACCTGCAAGATTGAAGGTTGTTTGTCAGCGCAGTTTCTCTTTGTAAGACCCTTCATAGGCTCCCGAATTTTGAATGCCTAGCAACCCGCTCGCAGGAAGCCTGCGCTGGAGATTTAAGGTGGCTCTCAGATTGTCGTCAAAGGACTTTCATGACTCCTGGGTCCGGAATCATTTCAGGCACTTTTTGGCTCATATCCTGCAGGGTGATTCACATCTTATTCAACACCATTCAACACCATGTGTTGTTTCCCCTTTTCGAAGGCTGTTTCGGTTGGATGTTGCGGTTGGATTTCTGGAAGATGTAACTCCGGGTCTTGCCTTGGTCCATAGATGTCCATAGCCTTGCAGTTCTGAAAAATCATACAAAGGCAATACATTCAACTGAGCTGTTTAGTTGAAATATGTTGAAATAACTCATATGGATATTTCCTAAAATGGTGGTACCCCCAAATCATCCATTGATAGATGGATTTTCCCCTAGAAACATTATAAACCATCCATTTGGGGGTACCTCCATTTATGGAACCCCCCATATGTCGAGATATTTTTCGTTAGGTGATCTGTGATCGGCTGGTCATTGACACTTAAGTTCCATCATGTTCCTTGTTGATCTTGTTGATGGTCCCAAAAAAAATCATGCGCACGCTTATGCCCAAGTCTTGGACCCACGGGGGGCCACATCCCAACGTCAAGGTCCTTCGGAAGCAGCATCGCTTCATTTTCTCAGCAAGTCCTGTCCAGGTCTGGGACCAGTCACCCCGTGGTATGTCAGGGTGACCTTTCTCATTTCTGGAACTGCCATATCCATAATTTACTGCTTGGTGGTTTGGAACACTTTTATTTTTCCATAATATATGGGATAAATAATCCCTCCCATTGACGAACTCCATCATTTTTCAAGATGGGCACATTGCACCACCAACCAGTTTACTAGTATACGCGACATTCAATGAGCCTTTCTGATTTGCATAGCATGAAAAACTAGATGGGTTTGTCTGAAAATAGAGAAAACCCCTACACCCAATGGTTTTGCTGATCATTATCCCTACTTTTTATGGCTATTTCATTGGGAATATACCCCATTTTCAGACATACCCAGATGCAAGCGCGTTGTTTCCCAGTCCTTTGCGGAAAATCACCACGGAGTTTCTCCACCACGGCAAAAGCCAAGAAAAATGACACCTGGAGCCCTGGAGCTCTACACATTGGTTGGGTTTCCCAACCACAACAGACAATTATCATATGTAGAAATATATGATACCCTCTGGTGAACTAACATAGCAATGGAAAATTGCCATTTATAGTGGATTTTCCCATTAAGAATGGTGATTTTCCATTGCTATGTTAGTTCACCAGAGGGTATATCATATATCATGTTTCCATCTGATATCATTAAATATAGTCATGCATATCATATGTTGATATATTAGATATAAATGATATACAGATATATATATATATATCAACAGAAATAGATAGAGATATCATATCTATCTAATTATCATATTTGAAGTATACAGAAATAGATATAAATATAGATATCATATGAAAGGTTAACAAGAATTTTCCAATTCTTTGATTGTTATGGACATGTCCATATATATATATATTCTATCCATATTTTATTCTATCATATTCTACTCCAGGATGACGGATATCATCGTTGATTCCTGCACCGATCACGCCAGGGAGCTGCAGCTCCAAGCCGATTGCAGTGGGGAACCTGGGACCCGAGTGATCGGATCATGGAATTCCTTGGGAAAATCCATGGAGGATTTGGGAGGTACCCCCGGGTACGAAGAAAAGACTAGGTGAGACTCAACTGGATTCCATGATATGGTCCTTCTGATTGTATGGATGTGTTTGAACATGGGGGATTACTATGGATTACTGCAGTTGCGTGCTATGGCCATTTAACGAAGCATGGACGATCATGGATTCATATGGATTCTGCGTCCAAAATCTATGGAGTTTAGGTATACCTTTTTGGTGAAATTTCAGACACATCTATCAAATCTGTCGTCTCCAGATCCTGGCTACGGCTTCAAAGCCAAACTTTCCGAGAAGCTGAAGGTTTTTTCCCTGGCCAGGCGCGGCGCATTTGATCCACGATGTTCCACCTGTCGCTGTGCCCTGTAATTATGGTCCCTGGTGACTTAAAAGATGAGAATTCTGAGAATGCAACATAATGGTGTTTGCCAAAGATTTTCTCCAAGCAGTTTCTATACATATAGTCATATAGTCATGTTTGTTCGATCTTTTTGGCTTCGTCTGATCTAGTCACCTAGTCCCGCCTTAGCACCACCTTGTTCAACGTATTCCAAAGCTTGGGTTTTGTTGCCCAACACCAGTCATGAGGAGTCTTTTCTGAAACCACCCATTAATCATTAAACCTTAATCAATCAATCAATCAATCAATCGATGTCTAGTATGAACACAGTGTTCCATGGAAAAACCCTTTTTGTGTTCATGGCTGAAGTATGCTCAATCAATGGATGTTCAAAAAAAAGGGGTTCTCCGAGATTCGATGCTTCAAGAGCTAAGCTTACTTCGCGGCCAGGTTTCTCGACGAGATGCTGCAAAAGAAGCGGCAAGGTCACTGGGGGAATAAACCTCCACCGGCTATGACTGGGTACATATATAGCTGGCTACCGAGCTAATTTGGGCCCATAAGCATTAATATCTTGACTATGTGTGTGACTATGTGTGATTGTGTGACTGTTTTTTTTAGAGATGTATTGCCTGTATTGCTGAGATAATATGTTGCGGCCTTTTTTTTTATCCATGTACTTCTGAGGGTTTCGGGTTCAGAAACTCGGATGACTTCACTCGTTTCGGGGCGTCGTTTTTTGGGACGTACACGGTGGGCTCCTAGGACTTCAATGGGGGGACAGTGCCTAGAGATGGAGGTTTCCTGAGTCATTTTGGGGTACCCCTAGTTATCATCCATTGATTCATAGGATTTTCCATTGTCCATAAACCATCCAGCTATTTGGGGTATCCCATGACTATGGAAATCTCCGGATGTTGTTGATGCTAAAACGGGATTTCCCGCGTAATGGCAAAAAAAAACAGTTTTGAGCCCAGAAAAGGCTTCTTGATTCGGTCACTGTTGCTACGCTGTCATCCCTTCGTGAGCCCATTCGGCCAGACATGTGTTTGATCTCAACACTCTATCAAACCATTGTTCAACCGAGTGCAAACGATTCAATCAACTAACCACTGAATATATCAATCAACCAATAATTTAATCAATCATCAATCAATAGTTCATACTGCGCCAATTATGTTCATGCAGTCCTTTCTTTACTTAACATGTTTATTGGTCCTTCAATCAACGATGCATGTCAGTCAGCAAGGTGCATGCTAGAACGGTGAACATTTTATTGGCATGTGGCTCGATGTTTGGGCCTTGTTTTTGGCCGGGTACATTGTTGTCATGTTAATGTCAACCCCGGATTAATAGACCATGGTTTATGAATTCGGGGAGGCTACTCCCCAAAAGTGATAACCAGACGGACCCGTCCAATTAAACCTCCGTTTGGGGCTTATTTATCCAGGTTTCATGTTGACATGGCCAGGCTACTTGGTCAAGAGGACACCAACATTTGAGACTGATTTCGGTGGGAATTTTGGGGCGGCGAGAATAAGTGACGTTATTCGAGCAATTTGCTGGCGACTGTTCTGGGTTTTGACAAGATGTCCATTGCTTCATTTGTTACCATCTGGTTATTTAACATAGCCATGGAAAATCCCCAATTTTAATAGGTAAACCATCTATTTCTATGGGCCATCTATACCATGGCTATGTTAAATAACAAGAGGGTAACATGTGTTGGTTATATCTCTGACCAGCTTCTTTTAGCTGAAGAAAACTGTGAAAATCGCACAGCTTATTCCCGGCCATTCCCAGTCGATCAGAGGCCTTTTTTATCCTTTTTCCGTTCTTTTAAATCCATGGCAGGACAGAGAGATCTTTTTGGAGCCGGAGGATTTGTTGCACTTATTGAAGGCACAGTGGGTAGTAAACTGTTTACCATCCCAGCTGGGGGGTTCATCCTATCTGGATGATCATGGATGATGTGGGATCATTGCCCAAGTTAACGTAGTTATCACTGATGATAAAACGCGTTGTTTTTTTGCAGGATGTGCTATGCTGTGAAAAAAAATCTGGAATCTCGGCCTCGGCTTCTATTCTTATATGATATTCATTGATATTTCCACTACATTCCACTCTCTCAATGGCCATGACTCAGGAACCGATTGATTGGAGGTCCCTACCGTATATAAGGTCTTTAATTATATTATATAAGGATATATAAGGCCTCAATTTCAGGGAATATCCCCACAAGATATGACCTTATGTCTTATGTGGTACTAATGTACTAATGTACCTCCATTTTAGGATTCTGAAGATTTCCCATTGACGCTCTCATCCCCCATGTGTTGGATTCCACTGATTCTTCGGGCATCGATCGCCAGGACACAGTGCTGTGTCCTGCTTTCTCGATCGAACTCCTTCAGCGAGTGTGCCCTATGCAAAACACCAGCACTGGGGAAGAATTGCTGGAAAACTTCGGGTTTCTTTTCAGGCTGGAACACTAAAAACCCAAATTGTTTGGTCATTGGAATAGAGTCGTGTCGACTGTTTGCGTGAATCTCTTCTAAGCTTCTGACGCCTAGTCATGGTTGCAAAACCTACGTGCACAGCAGAATATGCGTGAAGCAGCGAACCCAAAAAATGGGATGACGGCTTTCCAGGAGTTTGGAGATGGATTTGGATTATATAATTTGTTTTGGCACTTTCGAGAACGGCCCTTGGTTCCCAACAGTTGCCCAGAAACATCCAGAAACTATCTACAGCGCCTCGCTTTCTGGTTTCGACATCTGGCACGACATGGATTGACATAGATTGACCATATAGTGTGTGACTGGTGCAAGTGGTGCTATGTTCAAGCAAATCCCGTGTACTATCGCATGGGCAAGTAGGGTTAGATGTTTGAAGCTTTGATGCGAAACTGGGATTGTCACCGTTCCATTTGTTTGCCAAATGCTGAAATAACATAGAACCGTGAACTCAGTGACCACGCATTTGACAACATCCGATTACTAACCCCCCAAAATCCTAAAAAACTCGGTCCCGCGTTAATATTTGAGGAAAAATCCGACTGGCCGACCAATTTGATTTTTCATTGATTCCCATTAAAAGATAAGCTTCGGTGGTATCCCCAACAGCAGCAGTAAGTTATTTTCGCATTTTTTTTGTCCGAAATTTGCTGGAACTTGACCTAAAAGCTGCGCCGACACACTCCCGGAATCGCACCGGAACCTACTAGAAGCCTCGTTGAACCTGGCCGCACCAAAACCCTTCCGGAACCTTCTCCAGAACCTTCTCCGGAACCTCGTTGAACCTGGCACGGCTCTCCACCACAGCCTTCCGGAACCTCTGGAACCTCGTTGAACCTAGCCCAGCTCTGCACCAACCCTTCCGAAACCTCGGGAACCTCGTTGAACCCGGCCCGGCTCTGCGGCAAAGCCTTCCGGAAATTTCCGGAACCTTCTCCGGTCTCCGGAACCCTGTTGAACCTGACGTGGCTCTGCACCAAAGCCTCCCAGACCTTCTGCGGAACCTTCTCCGGACCGTTCTCTGGAACCCTGTTGAACCTGACCTGGCTCTGCACCCAAGCCTTCTCCGGAACCTTCTCTGCAACCCTGTTGAACCTGACCTGGCTCTGCACCAAAGCCTCCCAGACTTTCTCCAGAACCTTCTCCCGAACCCCGTTGAACCTGACCCGGCGCCCGCACCAGTGCACACCGGAGCTATTCTGGGCTGAAGACCCTATTCGCTTACGCTGCTGGAGAAAAAAATACAATGAAGGGCCAATTTGTGGGTTTCACCCCTCAGTAATAAAATCTAGTCAGGCCCGGGTGTCCGCCGGGTGTTTCTGATTAGGGTCCGTCTTTTAAGATCAAAAAATAAGGTTTCTAATTTGCTATTTGGAGAAATCATTGAAATAAAATGTTTGGCAATATCGTAATTAGGTTTTAAAAGGAAATTTAATCAAATTTGAAATAGAAAATGTTAATTTTTAATCTTGTTTTTAATTTAATTTTATAGGGAAAACTTCGAAATCATTGTTTGGGCATTAATTTATATTAAGTTTTACAAGATTAAAAGGAAATCTAATTGATGTTGAACTGTGTTTTTAATTTTTTAACATCAAGGTTTTTATTTCAATATTAGGTGAAAACTTCGAAATCAATTGATTGGCAATATTTTAATTAGGTTTTCAAAGGAAATTGAAGCGATTTTGAAAAGGAACATTTTAGTTGTTTGTTTTTAGGTTTTTAATTAAATTTAATATTATAGGTGAAAACTTCGAAATCAATTGATTGGCAATATGTTACGTTTTAACAGGAAATTTAAGCGATTTTGAAAAGGAACATTTCTTTTAATTTTGGTATTAACCTTTCTGTCCTTTGTTGCCCGATGTGTTGCCTTTGTGCCATGAAACCAGTCAAACATAACAGCTGCGCCCAATTGTTTCATGGCCGTGCGCTGTTTTTTTGCTTACCGTTGTCTAGTCCAAACATTTTCAGAATCTGACGCAAGATGACATTCGAAACATTTCGAAGAAACTCTAAATATGAAAAATGCCGTTGCCGATTTGGATTCCCATGCGTTGTGGTCTGGCGTTTTGTTTCTTGTTTGACCCCTGCACTCACACATCTTTTCATTTTCAATCTCAAGATTGTTGTTTTTCTTGGTTTCATACGCGATATTTAGAACCTTCAACTTCCACAAGGAACCACTCTGCCAAATTCTGCCCAATGAATGGAAATGATGGCTAATTTCTGGTCAGAGCATAAATATCTCCTGACCAAACTAAGGCCTTCTTGCAGGTTTTTAAATATCTCCTGACCAAACTAAGGCCTTCTTGCAGGTTTTTAAACGTGTTAAATGGGTTTATTAAGCGTCGAAGTGGCATGGAAAACTGACGTGAACTGCCCTGGGTGGTCCGTTGGTAACAAAAATCCATTATGCAAACTGTCAACCTCCTTTCAGCAACACGACAATGAACTCGTACAAAAAAAACTGTACACAAGTGTCCTATTGAAGCATTGCGCAATATTCGAGCTGTCCGTTGTGCTGGCTTCAGGATTTATTTCATTGCCTCACACAGACTATCTCGACCGAAATGCTCGGTCAGGGAGGTGTTGCATTTGGACCCCGTGTGAAGCCCGCGAAACATATTGTGAAACCGAATGGTAGCCATGCTCAGCCCATGATCCAATTTGTGAAGCCGCTTGGATTTGTTTTTGTAATCGATTTCATCGACTTCATCGAATATCCCTTGCCATTTGCGGGTATATCCCATCCATTTTCAGCAACATCTATATCCCATAGGATCCATGTATGCTAAATATGGTAACATTTACCATCAATATATCCCCAATGTTAGCATATATACCATACATGGATCCTATGGGTATGTGGTTGATGAATGCCAATGATTTTGGTTGTAAGATGTGCCAATATTGTCCTGTTTGGAAGATAGGATAGCTTTGGAACCGCTAAGGACAAAACTCTGCAAGCACTTCACAAAGGGTTACTGCAAATTCGAGGCTTGGATTATACCAATCGTTTCTTGCGTTTTTTTCTTGTGTGAGCTGCTGCTATTGAACTTCGAATTGGTCGCATTGCAAGTGGCAATAAGTTTGTCGTTTCTCACCATTGCATTTACAGATGCGCACCATTGATCTTCAGATGTGTCTGAAAATGGGTTCTACCATGTGTTTTTTTGTTTCAGGGACAATGACGGCAAATCATGATTCACTAGATGGAATCGTGTGTACCACGGTAAAAAAAAAGAAAACATTTTTACATTTCACTTCGGATAAGAACATGTTTTTCTATTTTGTTTTTTTTTTCGGAAACTCTAAACCGGAAACCATGGTTTGAGCCATTTTTTATATGGGGGTTTCCGGTTAAAAATTGTCCCAACAATTTTTGTTGAACCATCTGAACATGTAAATGATAGGAACATCCCTATTAACAACATCTATTAACATCCATTAAACCAATCCAATGATTTCTACAATGTGGAGCCCCCCAGTTTTAAAATAAACCCTATATTAACTATAGTTATAAGAGCCATAAACCATAGTTATTGGAGTTAGTTGCACCAACTTAGCTATCAAAGAGGGGCCCCACATTGCAGGCACTCTAAAACCCAGTGGTTTTCGGCGCAGGACCATTGCTTTTTTGCTCACGACCTCAGTGAGCTCCTCTTCAGGCCTGACCTAACGAAGCTTAGCACGCCAAGGCGGAAACAACATGGGAGAAGTTGGTTAGTTAATAGATGCCAATAGATGGTAATAGATGTTACTCGATGTCAATAGATGTCAACAGATGTTAATCGATGTCAATAGATGTTGAGAGATGTTAGTAGGGATTCCCAGCATGGATTGGGAGAATACCCAATCCTAATATTGGTTAGTAATCGTCCCCTATAAAAGATGTTCAGATGATATTCCAGCGATTCTACCAACAGCATCCAAGGAAAACGAAGTTGTTGGGCACTCAGATCGAAGTTTTTGTGTGCTCAAACAGGCAATCATTTGTAAAAATTGGTGTGTCTGGAAATGGTGGTATGCCTCCAATCATAACCATGTCGTAGGGAAAAATTGATGGAAAAACACAACAATGTGTACAATGGGGTACACAACGTTTTCAGACATACCACTTTTTCTTTGAAATCTACGGGCTGACTACCTACTGAAATTGGTCCATTTATAGTTGATTTACCTATGAAAGATGGTGATTTTCCATAGTTTTTTGTATGTTTACCAGACCCAGATGCTCCATGTATGGAATATTTACCTACATTTGTGCAATTTTTGGAGTAAATGTAGATACATATTCCATACATGGAGCATTTGGGAGAGGGTAAGCTTTCAACGACCTAGGTGCCAGGCGTTTATGACCACCGGAGCTTGCTCCAATGACCGCTGCAGCTTCGCACATGGAGTCGAAGATTTGCGCCCGGTGGGGGGGGTGTATGTTCCTCCCGCATTGGGTCCCTTTCAGGCGCGACATCAGGTTGTCCAAAAAGATCCAAAAACAGGATCTGTTGGGTAAAACAATGTCGTAAACCACCCAGTCGACTGGGAATGGTTTCTACATACCAGCTTTAAAAATGGTGATCTTTCTGGGGGTAAACATGACAGCCAGTTTTACCCACATGATTCTGTTTGTGGATTCGGATTATTTGTTTACTTTTTCTGCGATGTCCTCAACAGTCACGCTGCGTTTTAGTCAGGAGAGTCTACTCGCAGCCCGGGAGCAAATGTCTGCCTCAAAGACCTTGTGCTTCGATTTGAATCCCTTGGGACCCGGAAATCACGACTGTGCCATTCTGAAAATCGGGGATGAAAAACTCGGACATGTGTATGATTTACATTTGAATTCTCAAAATCCACGTTTTTTGTTTGAGATTCTTGAGATTCATATAGATTCATTAGATCCCCAATGGCTGCCGGGATGTTTTGAGTTTCCATTTGAGTTTGCATGTTGACCCATGACAGATTTTGGCTTCCTGCTAAGGTGGTGTGCAACTCAAGAGCCTGAATACATTGAGCCACTAGATGCTGGGCGCAGTCAGAGTGAGATTTCCTTATCAAGATGGGGAGAAAATTGGGACTCAAGACATCCATCATCCATGATACAATGATACTGGTAATATTGAGAATGGTAATCATTGAATGGTCATATGAATGAAATTCTTGTAATTATCAATGAAATCCATAATCATCAGATGAATGAATTTATAGTAATCTTTTAACAATGATAATGGTAATCATTCATATGTACTGTCATAAAATCAGAAAGACAGTTCCAACAAAAATTCAATCCGCTGAGAGAACTGCTGTGCATCTCGGCCTTTTTTCCCAGGATCTGAAGACGAGAAGGCTGGCAGCTGCTGGCCGAAGTCGGCATCTAACTCGGCCTTGTTTTGCTGTGTAAAAACAGACGGTGTAGTATGGGAAGTCATGACGGTGCACGCAGGGTTTTCTCGGCGATGACTGTGCCAAAAATGCGAATCTTCAGAATGTTCGAAATATGGCGGAAGTTCTCATACTATTCATACTGTATAGGTTCTGATTCTTTTCACCAGTGGGGTCATTGAAAATGTTTCTGAATGAGACGGTACTTCATATAGGTCCAAGGCCGCGGCAAAATGTCGTGTTTCCGATTGTGGTTTCTGCGCTGCAGGGGGTCGGACACGAGCTCCGCTGCCTACGGGAACCCGAATAAGCAACGTCAGGAGCGTTTGTTTTGCGCAAGCGCAGATGCTTTGATATCTTTGATGTTGGTGACAAAAGCAGATGTCCAGACCTGTGGCACAGAATGTATTCTAGAAATTTCTAGAATGTCTATCAGAATGAGCAGAACGTCTCAGGCAAGGCCGGCTATGGCAGTGAAATGTGCTGATACCGAAGATGTCATTTCTCTGACGCCAACGACGCTCACGACGCCAACGACGCCAAGGTCTATATCAGCCGAGCAGGTTGAGTCTCTTGATGCTCAGGAGCCGGTCCGAGTGACCCCAGTGACCTGGGTTGTTCCGAGCAGGCGACGTCTGGTGGTCTGGTGGTTTTTCACAATTTTAGCCTGGACGAATGTTCCAATCCAGGAGGGTTTACCCATGAGTTTAGAAGATATGACCATTTGATATACACATATATACACATAATATATACACGACTATATAGATATACTATGATATACTATACTAATTGGGGCCCAACAAAAAGCAGTTCAATAATTGTCATAGTTCTTACATTCTGGTGGTCATCTGCTTTTCGATGGCTCTCTGTGGCTTTTGGCAGGTGGCTCTTGATGGTTGAACGCCTCCTGAGTCAAAGACGTGCGCAAATGGTACGTCATGGGCGCATTCTTTTGAACAAGTCACAGTGTGGTTTATTTGACAGGGAGTTGTCAAGAGCCGACGTTGAGACTCAGCTGAAGTCAGAGAAAGATTTATAGAAAACATGAAAAAGCTGGGTAGCAGATTGCCAAGTCCTAGTCTTCCAATATGCTGCCCCTAAGCTGGCCGACTCCAAAAAATACTGTAGTGTTTCCAGCGTAGCTCGATACAGAAGTTGGATCTGACAGATGCTGGTGATATCTGGTGATGCTGAGGACACTATATCGGCAATTCTATTGCATGAGCCTGGATGGTGTGTGGAATTCAAACAGCTTGCTCGCCGCCTTAGCAAGTGCCAGTCTTACGGAAGATATTTTTTTGTGAATAGAAGTAGACTGAAAACAGGGATGTTGTTGATGTTGACCTTGAGTGTGCACTTCAAATTGATGAGAAGAAATCACTCGAATGAACCCCTACTCGTATTGCATGCATGTTCATACCACATAGTGGTCCCCAAACGGAGCCCACTATATTGTTGTTGCCTATGACTGTAAAGTGTACACTACTTGTCATGGCTTTTACAACATGAAATCGAAAATCCAATACGTTATCTATAATGATAACTTGCTCCATGCTCCAGCAATCCGGGGTAAGGTCATAAACCTATACTTGGCCAACAATGTTTGGCTCAAGGTGCCCACTAAAGGTGTGCTTGTAGCTTTGTTTCCACTGGTTCTGCGCATTTCATCTGCACCAAATACGACACCTATAAATCTGGTATAGCCTCGAGGCTATGGAAATTGCCATTGATGCTATGGAAAGTGGAGCAAAACAGACACTTTGCTAGGATGAGGCAAGCCTCGAGGCAGGCCTCGAGGCTATGGAAATTGCAGCGCGGCAAAGGAGAGACTTGGCGAAGATGAGGCAAGACTCGAGGCAGGCCTCAAGGCAGGTCTCGAGGCCATCCATACAGACATACATTCAGTCACTCATGAGCAAAAAACTTGTTACACTTCTCGATTTGTGCGTGTCATCCTTGCGCAGGGGCCATGCTAATCTTCTCTGTATCGTTCCAATTTTATCGGATGATCCCCGAAGGGAATCCACTGGGCAGTGAGCAAAAAAGGTGCTTACCCTGCTCCCTCCCGCGCATCACCAGTGCCACGGATGGCCCTTCACTATTGATATCCCCCTGCTTGCTTTCTTTCGTCCTCAACATCTAGGGGCCTCTGTCCCAATGTTCTTCATTCCGCAGCATTGTCTTCTGGCAGCAGCATGCCACACATGCACCTGTTGATCACTGAGTTGTTCCGGATTCTAGTAGTTATCAGCCGTAAGCGGCTCTTATTCAGAGACATTGTGTTGTCCTACGGAAGCATCTGCAAAGATCATTGAACGGAACATTCTACATGTTGATCACTGTGAAAGACTTCTTATAGGGCTACCTGCTTCCTCGCGCTGGCGCGATTCGCCATAGTGCTTTCTCGCAGCCTTGGGCGCGGGCTTCGCTGCTGTGAGCGCGACTGGATGAGCGGCAGGGGAGGGATCACGTCTCGGCCGAGAAACGGGGGCCGAAGAGGGGGAAATCCTTGGCGAACCTCGGTATCTAGGTACGACCGTGGGGTTAGCAGTGCTCTAGATTTCGCATCGCTGGCAGAGTGCAGGGATCTTCCGGCCCCAATTGGCCGCATCCACCTTCTAACCCACCACCAGCATTCTTAGATTTGATCGGCCAGACGTTCAGGACAAGCCTCAGACTGCTGGGCATTCAGGTTCGCGCTCAGGGCGCGAGAGATCTCCTCGCGATAGCCGCGAAGCATCTGGTGTGAGAACTACAGAGTCAAGGGTGCCTGTGCCATCTGGACCTGCAGCTCGAAGATCAGCAGCATCTTCAACACCAGCTCGCCCAGGGCGCGACACAACTGTCTCGAGGACATCAAACTCAGCTCGCGTTGCACGGGCGGGGCACAACTGTTTCGAGGACATCAGAACTTGTTTGCGCTGGGCGCAACACAACTGCCTCATGAGTCTCAGAGGGATCAGCTCCGGCTCGCGCGGAGCGCGACTCAACTGTCTCGAGTGAGCATCGAAGGCCTGCAGGGCCAATGATTCCGCCGAAGGCCAAGGGTTGACCTCGAAGAGCAGGTTCGGTTGGTGCAGTTGGGGATTCTCGAAGGCTTGCAGAGCCGGAGGCCAAGGCAAAGGCATGGCATTGAGAGGCCATTGATCTTACTCGATTGGCACAAGACTATCACCTTCGAAGATCGTCGCAGTGGAGAGCATTATATACGTTCCAGAGAGATCCAAGCAGGTTCTTCGGCGTTGCCAAGCCCTGTAGGATACGATCTAGGGGTCTCAGCAGTCTCAGCCCCCTCCTTGACAGGGTGCATTACCTCAAAGGCAGAGGAGATCTGCAGGGTGGGAGCTTGTGTGATCTTGTGTGTTGTGGACGATCAAAGGGTACTCTTGCAGGCGGTGGAGCAGCTTCAGGCTAACAGGCTCCTTGGGAACAGGTGCAGGGTCTTGATCTCTCACGCCAATCGTCCATCGGCGGCATTGGAGGAGCTGGGTAGAGAATCTAGTTGAAGAAGAGAGTGCCGCGGACTTTGGGTTGCCAATTTGAGGTGAAGTTGGGCGTCACCATTTGACTAGTCTCGGGATCTTGGAGTGCTTAGTGCAATCATCTTCGAAGTGTCTTGGGAGGATCGTCCAACTTGGTGTCCAATTCACTGCAAAGCAAGAGCAAGAGCATTTTTTCCACTAGATCAGTTTCACCGCATTTTGCGTTGGCCACAGTTGTGTATAACTGCGAAGGTTTCACCGCAAGTTCATTGATCTATTTCACTGCAAGTTGTGGCCTTTGCATTTTTCAGTTTCTTTTCACTCCCCACGGCTTGTTCGGCGTTTTTGCCTGCCTCGCGCTTGCGCCATAGCTTGGTGAGAGAAGCAGTTTCACTTGGACTCGCTGCCATCTGGCGCGAATAGTACAGTTGGTGGTTTCTGCAAGATCATTGAGACGTAGTTCGCATCGATGGCATGAAGAGGGTTGTGCCAGCTACTCCATTCAAGGTGGACGGACCCAACAGCACTTGGACTTCATCGACTGATTCACCGGAGAAGCTTGTTGAACAAATGTCCATATATGGTAACTAACCTGACGACCCGGCTCAGGAGGTTGCAACGGCGACGAAAGTGTCGAAGAGAGGACAGGGCTCAGCTTCGGCTGCGGGTGGATCGGCAGATTGGGGTGGAAGCGCGGAATCGGGTCATCAAAGCCTTCGTCAACATAATACTATACAACAGAATATGTACCAGCAGCAGATCAATCAAATAGATCCTGCTCTGTCAGTTGGACCAACTGTTGGAATCTCTGGTGAAGGCAAAAGCTGAAGCGAACTACCAACAATTGAGACAAACGGCGCAACGGCAGGTTGATGCCATCAGGCAACAGGCAGGAAACGATCACCAAGCATTGCAAGCGCAGGTATATCAAAAGTTGAGTCAATTGAATCAAGAAAAACAGATACTTGAGATGAGAGAAACAAACTCATGAACACGCACAGCAACGTTATGAGCAACTTCAACATGAATCTGGGAGCCACATTTCACGCTTGTCGGATGATAACAAGAGGTTGCAGACCGAGCTTGAAGAGACCGGCAAGGCCGCTGAGAATCAGATGGCCATGGTGAAGATTCAGAGGCTGAACGACAGAGGGTGGTGGCGGAACTCAGGGAACTCAGCTCCTAATTGGAGGCTGCACACCAGAATTTGATGTCAGAGCGAATTGCATCAACACCATGTTCTGTGATGGGATCCCCTGGTATAGCAAACCCCTTTGAACACCTACCCCAGAACTATCACCCAGCTCAGCCTACAGAGATTATGCCTGCAGGGGCTGGCATAGCTAGTGTCAGTCCTCTTGAAGTGATGCTTTGTACATGTTGCGGTTCTCAGAATGTCATTGGGCGACCATCTTGTTGGAGATGTTCAGCATCATTGCTTAGAACTGGCAATCAAGAATGGCGCGGACTTGAGCAGAATACAGGGCCATGATGTTGAGTCAGCCCCGTGCCCGCCTCCAAGTTTGGCACCACCAAGCTTCCTTGCACTCTAAGGTGGAACAGCCGGAAGCGCGTCCATCGCAGCGCCGGCAGTGGCGGCACCCTTCGCGTCCAGCGCGATGCTTCCTGGACATAGTGCCAATCCAGCGGTGTTGTGTTGACCCGAATGGTCCAAGAATCCCATGGGTACATTGTTCCGGAACGTGGACCGTCATGCTGGCCATCACAATTCAACCAATGGTGGTGCAGCCAGCTCTCCGATTCATGCCCCAAAAGCCAGTTCCCCATCAAATGCATCGTCATGTTCAAAGGACTCAGATGAGGACGGTTTTACCCAGGCTTCCAAGGATGGATGGTTGTTGCCAGGGGAAACCGATGAACATGTGTACAAACACAAACACCTCAAGTCCATTCAGATCACCAAAGCGCCGAATCCGAATGACGCGACATCTTGTGGCGAGTCGCGTGCGGCTTGCTTGGCTGCAGTTATAGCAGGGTGGACATGATGAACCGTCATGTGCTGGTGAAATTTTCCACAGGAAGGTCGCGGCTGACGATTCCGAGACAATTTCCAGAACTCAAATGATTTCCTTGTATTCAACAAGCATGTGGCGGCCGAACTGATTAAGCCAGAGGTATTGGCCACGAACACAGATCTAGCACATGAGCTGACATCCTGGGACAGGGACCCAAGCACACGGCATTGATGCGCATCATAATTGCCTACTATGAAATTGGACCAGACAAGTCCATTGCCCTCAACCAAACGCACCTTTGCAATTGCAACTGCAAGGAAAGACCGCAAAGGAACTTGCGGAGTTTGTGAAACGTGGGAACTACATTTTTGCATGGCCTGCGTCCTGGGGACCGCCCTGCTGAGGCGACACTCTACAGCTGGCTTTGGCATCAGGTGAAAGCCATCGAGGAGATGTAGCGACAAGATCCGGGAGTCTTCAAGTGGGTCTTTCGGTTGGTTGTGGGGAAAGATCGCAGAGGAACTTCGCGAAAGGCGGCATGACTTGAACTATGAAAACATGGGTCAAGGGTTAACTAAGGTGACGAAAACTAAGGTCAGTGCCAAGAAGGACACCAAGCCAGCCGCAGCTGCTTCTACTGAGGAACCTCAGAGACATACCTGCGCTTTGCATGCCGCTGGGTTTTGCAGATTCCGTGTCAACTGTAGGAACTCACATGTTGGTAAGCCAGGTTGAGAAGAGGTAAGGAAGGCATACTCAGATGCACAGAAATCCAAGCCCAAGGGGCCGAAAAGGGTTCAAAAGGTGAAGGAAGAGAAAGAAGGAAGACAACAAGGGCACCAAAGGTGGCACTGGAATTCCGGCAGCAGTGGCTGCGGGCAGCATCCATCGTGATGGTCATTGAGGTTGAGGGCAGGCAGGCTCATGGCAATCCTTCTGTCAGTTTTGTGACAAGGCCCTTCTTTCTTGGAACATGTTCTTGGAGTTGTCCGTTCCCATCTTGGCCACATTGATTTCATCCATCACCAACTCCTATGAACAAATTGGAGAGCAAACTGCGGCTTCAATGATGCACCCTGCGGTTCCGAATTTCAAGAAGTATTCATTGGAGTTTTTGGGAGCCACTGGAGCTGCCCATGGCATCGGAAGTCTCCGGGCGATGCAGGACGAGGGACTTAGCAGGGAAGTGGTGAAGCCATGGATAAAAAATTTAGAAAGCCCCGAGGTTTACGACCGGCGGCGGACCGAACTCTCCACTGAGGCACTCCGCATGTACACCAAGGACCTGGGTGACTTCCATATCCATCTCCTGGAGAGCTGCCCCATGGCCTTTTTGATAGGACGACAGCATGGTCAGAAGCCGTTCATCGCACTAGATCGTCGCCGATGTCGTGTGTGGTGTCCCTCTGAAAACAGATGGTTTGCCAACAGGGTCCAGAATAACGTCCCAATCTTTGCAATTGACAGTCCTTTGAAGCCTGGAAGGGTAAACAGGGATAGTGCCCAATGCGCTCATCTGGAACAGCCAGCGACGCGCGCTGAAGAGAGCACTGAGGACTCCGCAAGGCGGTATTTTGTGGGTCTCGCTTAGATCGTCAATATGCATGCGTGTGTCATGATACTGTTGTGGAAGATCTAAATGGAGCGGTCCCGAAACGGAAGCGCATCCCACGCCATTTTGCGATCATATTCAAGAAGGTCATGCAGTTCATCCATCAACCCAAGGTTCTATTCAGCGTCGCAAGCACACACGCCATTTGACAGGGGGGTTGCAGCTGTTGAAGCAATGATGGGTGGTCTCAAGGATTTCTACAATGATCACTCTACACTACACAACATGATGAACAGACATCTAAACTGTATCAATCCATTGCTCTCAACATTGCCAAGGAGTTCGAGGACTTTCATCAGAGCAGCGCTGCAGAGGTGGCGATTCCTGAGCCTCACCATCCAGGACTGACAGAACACGGAACCTTGATTGAGTTCTGTTACAGCTGATGAACCCATGGTGGGTAAGGTTGGAAAGGATCTTGGAGCTCACGTGATACGATGTTCTGAAAACCACTTGAACGTTGAAGACAAAGGGACAATGAAGGTTCTCCATGACATAGTGTGCAGACCTTTGGGGTTCCTTGCCGTGTGACCCATGGTCACAATGGCAGACACTTAACAGCCACCAGTATGGCCAAGCTTTTGCAGATGAGCTAGAAACAGGCGATGCAGGCCCAGATTGCTTATCAGGAAGTTTTGCAAACTGGCTCGCGCTGTGGCGCGAATAGGAGGACGTGTAACGTTCGAGTGGCCGAGGTTCCGCATTGGTTGGGCGGAGCAAGAGCTTCAGAAGCTGATCCCAGACCTAAACATGATGGTAGTGGATTTTGATGGGAGTCAAGTGGGATTGACGGACACCAAGGGGAGATTGCATGTGAAAAGGTGGCGACTGATCACCGCGCACAATCGCACAGCCAGACTATTTAATTTAATGCATTAAAATGCAGCCATCCAAAACAGTTCAAACATGTACCGATAGAAGGGTCGACGACACGTCACACGTGTTCTTACCCCAGGGAGATGTGCGAGTACGTCATGCACGCCCTTTATCCAGACATCATAGCAAGGCATGTTCCAGTTATGCCAGAGTCCCCAATTCAGGATGAACCACAAGTCCATCGAGAGCGTGAACCAGAAGAAGAGCCAGATACAGGCGGTTTCATTTTGAATCAGTTGATCCCCTTGCTGCTGCTGCTGCGCACTTAGGTTCTGATGAAGAGCCAGCAGATGATGAAGCAGAGGACAACGAAACCAGAGATGACAGACTGAGGCGAGAGGCAACATCCTTAGAACATCTCACACTTCATGACAGAAAGACTCCTTTTTGCGAGTTTTGTCAAAGGGGTAGGATGTTGAAGAGATACTGCAAGAGAATCAGGCAGATTGATGGGGATGATGAGAGGAATTATCCTTTTCAGGGAATGTCTTTTCGAAGAGTTTTTCTCTCCAGAAAATAGTTGGTTATTTCGGGTTTTTCTGCAAGCAGCTTGCCAAGAAGAGATGCTTTGGATCATATAACATATATTGTGTTATAGTTCTTTGTAATGGTTCAAATAAAATATATTCATTGTATTAAATATTTAGAAGGAAAACATAAAATGATATCAGTTAAAACGGAATTAACATTTAAAGAAAGAAAATTCAAGAAAAACAGAAAATCAGACAATTCAGGATATTCAGAAAATTCGGAAAATCCAGGAAACTCAGAGAATTCCGAACATTAAAAAAGTTCAGAAAACTCAGAGAATTCAGAAAATTCAGCAAATTCAGAGAATTTAGAAAACACAGAAAATCAAAAAAAATCAGAAAATTCAGAATTCTTCTTTAAATTAAAAGGAAAGCAAGTCGGAAAATTCCAGAAAATAAAAAATTAGAAAATAAAAAAAAAGGGAAATTCAAAAAATCAGAAAATGCACAAGTTCAAAAAAATCAGAAATGCAGAAAATACAGAAAATTCGGAAAATACAGAAAAGACAGAAAATTCAAGATAATGAGGCTACGGTGAAGATAGTATACTGGCCGGTTATAGCAAACGTCTCCGACATCTGCGCAGAACCCAGAAGATTCATTCGGCTTCACGCAGTGAGCAGTTAAATCAGCCAGACATTGAGCTGATGCTGGTCAATACTCTGTTTCAGAAGGTCGATGTATTCACTAAAGCTGTTGCAGGACCACTTTGGGAGAGTGCCATGAAGCTACTTAGCATCCTCAGAACATACGACATCCTTCACACTTCATTGACGGGTCTCAAGATGAGCCTAGATCAGGCACTAGCGCCCGATGTTGAGGAGGACTGTCAAGTGCAGCCTTCTAAGGCGCCCGCACAGGTGAAGAAAACAAAACCAAGGAACCGTCGACCAAAGCGGATTCCACAATACCAAGAAGCCGTCAAGAACGACGGCACCTGCAATGTGCCTTCCAAACGAGCTGTCTTTTATGTCTCTGAGTACTGAGGTGATGGTTGACGAGTGCCACTTAGGATCCGGTGTCATACGAGAGGGGGGAGAAGAAATCACTCGAACGAACCCCTACTCGTATTGCATGCATGTTCATACCACATAGTGGTCCCCAAACGGAGCCCACTATATTGTTGCTGCCTATGACTGTAAAGTGTACACTACTTGTCATGATGCTTTTAGAACATGAGATCGAAAATCCAATACATTATCTATAATGATAACTTGTTCCATGCTCCAGCAATCCGGGGTAAGGTCATAAACCTATACTTGGCCAACAATGTTTGGCTCAAGGTGCCCGCTAAAAGTGTGTTTGTACCTTTGTTTCCACTGGTTCTGCACATTTCATCTGCACCAAGCACGACATCTATTTCTGGTATAACTCCTGTAGATCATTGAGTTGTTCCAGATTCTACTATATATTGGAATATGTTGAGTGCAGCTGTCTGAGGTGCCTTCAACAGAGCTCAACACCAAGAACAGAGCCAGGCTTCGCAAGGGGATGCTGTGTAGCTAACCATTGATCGGTACGAAAAGGTGTTGCCATAACTGACCTTTCAAGCACCCCCATGTTTTTATCGTTTTTATACCCCTTGCCTTGTCACATTTTGCCACCATGTTTCTTGTGGATTTTGGTCGTCAGCCGAAGTCCAGGAACCCCTTTGCTGTCTGCCCCCAGCGATTCCGGGGAATATTTCTGAAGCTTTGAGCAGTGATTGATGTTTGATGACTCTGATGGCCCAGACAGAGCATTTGATGACTCTGATGGCCCAGACAGGGCATTCGGCGAAATTGTTCAGTAGGCCGACCTCATGGCTGGGTCCATATAGTCAAGTTCCGCTCTCGCATGTTGCTGGCGGTCTGATGATGGCTGGACGCATCTTTGAAACCACGTGTAATACCCTCTGGTTGTTTAACGATGTTTAACGTAGCTTTGGAAAATCGTCATGGTTTTTCATTATTATTTTTATCAAAATGAAATACCTGCGTAACTCATTTATAAATGGACCATGTTCCTATGTTACGTAACCAGTGAGCACTGAAAGATCCATTGCGAATTGATCGAATTCTGATGGTGTGTTCTCCTTGCGTCCAGCTCATGCGTCGTGTGCAGCGTGGATCACCCAGGTCTCTGTTCGCCAACAGGGTTTTTGTTAGAAGATAGATCGAGATAGCGTAGTTCGAGGGGAGAAAAGAGATATCTGAAGCCAGATGAAGCCAGCTGGCAACATGTGGTAACATGTCGAAACAAGTGGTAGCAAATGGTAACCAGGGTTGCGGCTCTATGATCAATGATATTCCATGATATTCCATGTAAGTCAGTGCCGGCGTTGACAGCAGAAAACCTTGCGAGTTTGAGATTGATGACCTTTTTTTCCCCAGCCAATTGGCGATGTACCCGATGGCTCAGAGATGCAGCTGCAAATGCAGCTGAATGTGCAGCTGAATGATTCGAATTGATTCGAACTGGTTCAAACATTCGGAGAGAATATTTTTGTTGGAGATTTCACCTGAAGGACTAAGTGGTCTTATTGAGCTAACCTTTGAAGGACATTGAGGGATTAAGTTAAGTGTCAGCTGCACATTGCATGGCTCAGCAGTCAGGAACCGCTGAGGAATATGCAAATTGCACCGGATACCTGCCACGTGTTTCGACGTACCGCTGCAACGTGCCTGCTGATGAAATTTCACCAGACCTTTCCACTGGCACCATCGCGAGCAGACTTAAACGACATCGATTTCCATAGCTCCGGAAGACCAAGGAAGTGCGGCTGTCTTTTTGTGCGGGGCGGTCGGCGGTCATGGTGCTTCTATGCCGGGTTGCCATGGATTGCCAGCGTCATGAGTCATGAGTCATGAGCATTGCTGTGAACCAGGTACCAGCATCGCCTCTTTTGCTCTCACAGCTCCTTCTGCGGCTGTTCGGTGACCAAGGTTATCCAGAAACACGATGAAGCACGGTGACGAATCCCATGATACAATGGTCAATTTTGAACCATGGCATCTATAGATTTTTGTAAATACCCATAGGGTTTCTTGCGTGTTACATGTTTCCTTTTCCTGTCAGAACTGCTTTTCTGCCCCACGTATCTTCAATTCTGCCTTCGGACCTTTTTTGGCATTTTTGCATATGTTTGTCATCCACATCCATTGCTTGTTTTGAGCACTGTCCATCGTGCAAGGAAATCCAAATCGCACAAGAGTTTTGGGTGGACATAGATGAAGTCTCCCACCAAACGTTTTTCTAAAGGAAACATTTGACCACGGCAGCTCTGTGATGAAACTAACTCTTGTTGATGGGCCGTCGTAGCATAGCAATTTTGTTGACTGCGCTTGCAACCAATTGCAAAGGCGATTTTTCCCGACACAAAGCGGTTTACCCGTACCCCGGTTTTGGATAGTTTTGGATGGTTTATGTTGATGTCCTTATGACAATCGAATGGTACAAAGGGTTGCAATTCGAGGGCTTACAAGGCTTACAACCCATGCAAGCCATGCCAATCCATTTTGCTTCCAATTGATCAGCTGTGGCATCACTATCACTTGCAACAGGTTTGTTGGTTTTCTTTCAACCTGGCTATTTTTGATCAGTTGGAGCAAGAACGTTTTATGAAGGCGGCGGCGTTTGTCTTCCAGCAACGACCACAATAAATGTTTTTTTCCAGGCGAAAAAAGGAGCACCAGGAAGGCATAGATATATAATCACCCACCCCCGTAAAAAGTACAAGAGAGGGGGGGGTACGCTCCCAAAAATGTACTTTTTACGTGTTTCTTCCTAGAGTTCCCCAGGGAAAAATTTTATACACCACGTAACGTTCGCGGGGGGGGGGGTCTAAGATGGATGGGGTGGACAAAGGCAGTTCGAACTCCCCCCCCCCTAGTTTGATACATTTTGCACATGTTTTGGAATTCCTGGGGTTCCTAGGGGTTTTAAACCCCTGAGCCTTTACACTTTTTACGTACGTGTTGGACAACCATTCTGTGGGCATCCCCAGGATTCCTCAGTGTTCCATGAACCCTGAGGTTTATACATTTTACGTGCGTGTGTCTATTTTTCGATATTCATAAGTCAGCTGGAATTCACTGCCCCCCTAGTTTTATACTTTTCGTGTTTTTTCTAGACACCCAAGTTGCTGAACTGAAAAAAAACATGATTGATTTGCCGGCCGCCGTTTTTCCGAAAGCCTTTTTTGGCCACACCCCTCGCTTGTTGAGCCGAAAGAGCTGATCAGCATAAAGAATACAGGGTCTAAGACATACAAAACCAGAGCACACAGAAAAAAACAAACTCGGAAAACACAAAATAATCAAAACTTGTCAAACTCCAGGTTTTGATTGATGTTGTTTGCCGTTTTTGTGTTTTTTTTTGTTTTTGTTGTTTTATATGGTGAATCTTGCGGGTTGCTTTTGGCGATTCTGTGTTTTGATTGTGTTTTTGTTTTTTGTTTTGTTCTTCATTTTTGCTGGAATCAACTTTCTCTGTTGAAGCCGGTTACAGACTACAAGGGCAAATGAACGGAATTTTGCGTATCCAACCAAATCTAACCAGGACCACATATTTTCGAAATGTATTCTAAGGAGGGGTGAGCCTGTCCCCCCCCCTTTCATACATTTTCGAACTTTCTTTTTCTCTTGACCCAAACAAATATGTAAGGTAGTATTTGTTTGTATACAAGGACATACAAAAGGATTTGATTGGATTTTGTGTGTATCCAACCATATCCAACCATATCCAACCATGTCTAAAGTCTAAAAACATATCGAACCCAGAAATTCAGAAAATGTATTCTAAGGAGGGGTGGGCCTGTCCCCCCTTCCTTTCATACATTTTTGACTCTTCTTTTTCTTTCGAGCCAAAAATGACTGTAAGGAGTTTGTTTTGAACCTTTTTGTATACCAGGCTTTTGAACCGAACAGCATAAAGAATATAGCGGTTTAAAAAATACAATACCAGAGCACACAGAAAGAAAACAAACTAGCAAAACACAAGATAATCAAAACTTGTCAGACTCCAGGTTTTGTTTGTTTTTTTTTGTGGCTTTTGTTTTTTGTTATTGTTGTTTTTTCTGGTGAATCTTGTCGGGTTGTTTTTGGCGATTCTGTGTTTTGATTGTGTGTCTGTTTTTTATGTTTTTCAATTTTTGCTGGAATCAACTTTCTCTGTTGAAAACGGTGTCACACTACAAGGGCAATTGAACGGAATTTTGCGTATCCAACCGAATCTAACCAGGACCACATATTTTCGAAATGTATTCTAAGGAGGGGTGAGCCTGTCCCCCCCCCTTTCATACATTTTTGAACTTTTTTTTTCTCTTGACCCAAACAAATATGTAAGGTAGTATTTGTTTGTATACAAGGACATACAAAAGGATTTGATTGGATTTTGTGTGTATCCAACCATATCCAACCATGTCTAAAGTCTAATCATATCGAACCCAGAAATTCAGAAAATGTATTCTAAGGAGGGGTGGGCCTGTCCCCCCTTCCTTTCATACATTTTTGGCTCTTCTTTTTCTTTCGAGCCAAAAATGACTGTAAGGAGTTTGTTTTGAACCTTTTTGTATACCAGGCTTTTGAGCCGAACAGCATAAAGAATATAGCGGTTTAAAAAATACAATACCAGAGCACAGAGAAAGAAAACAAACTAGCAAAACACAAGATAATCAAAACTTGTCAGACTCCAGGTTTTGATTGTTTTTTTTTGTGGCTTTTGTTTTTTGCTTTTGTTGTTTTTTCTGGTGAATCTTGTCGGGTTGTTTTTGGTGATTCTGTGTTTTGATTGTGTGTCTGTTTTTTATGTTTTTCATTTTTTGCTGGAATCAACTTTCTCTGTTGAAGCCGGTGGCAGACTACAAGGGCAAATGAACGGAAGTTTGTGTGTATCCAACCAGATCTAACCAGGACCACATCTAATCATAATTAACCCAGAAATGTATTCCAAGAAGGGGTGAGCCTGTCCCCATCCCCCTTTCATACCTTTTCGAACTTTCTTTTTCTCTTGATCCAAAAACATGTGTAAGGTAGTATTTGTTTGTACACAAGGAAATACAAAGGGATTTGATTGGATTTTGTGTGTATCCAACCATATCCAACCATATCCAGCCATGTCTAAAGTCTAATCTAAAGTCTAACCATATCGAACCCAGAAATTCAGAAAATGTATTCTAAGGAGGGGTGGGCCTGTCCCCCCTTCCTTTCATACATTTTTGACTCTTCTTTTTCTCTCGAGCCAAAAATGACTGTAAGGAGTTTGTTTTGAACCTTTTTGTATACCAGGCTTTTGAGCCGAACAGCATAAAGAATATAGGGGTTTAAAAAATACAAAACCAGAGCACACAGAAAAAAAAACAAACTAGGAAAACACAAAATAATGAAGACTTGTCAAACTCCAGGTTTTGATGGTTTTCTTTTGGTGTTTTTGTTTTTTGCTTTTGTTGTTTTTTCTGGTGACTCTTCATTCATACATTTTTGGCATCGTCAGAGCACTTATTTTCTATGAGGTCGGTCTTGTTTGCTACACAAGGACGTAAAAGGATTCTATTGGATCTTGTTCTTTTTTTGATGTGTGTGTGTCAAACCAAATCAAACCTTATCTAACCATATCCGACTATCACATTGCAGCCCTCAAATCGTTTTTGACATTATATAGAAGTATTTTATTAGAAGTATTTTGTTCTTTCAGAGATTTCCATGTAAGTTGATAACATCATCATATCTTACTATCACTTAGAAACCGAGGCCTCGATAGACCTGTGCAGGGTATGCAGCTCAACTAATCTCAATTTGTACCGTGACAACAGCTGGAGAGAAAAGCAGCAGATTTTGATGGAAGTCGTCATGTCTGAAAAGTCGTTCGCATGATTTCTGCTTGAAGAAAATCAACGGTGTCCCCC